TAATTTGTCACAACAAGAAATTACCAAAATTGATAATCACATCAGTTTCTTTCTGCGTATCCGCTGTGACCATTATAATATTCTCCACCTGTGTACTCCACCTGCAAGTGCTATAATAGATATACAAATAATACGTAGCATTAATTACAGCTGGAGTTTTGTATCACCACTGGGGAGCTCTACCCCAGTAGTGAATTCCTACTTCCTCTTCTAGTCCATTGACCAGTTAGTTTGTATAAATATTCCTGTGCGACCCCCTGATGAGTCCCCCCTCCAATCTTGAGTGCCAGCGTTTCCACCATCTCGGTGCAGACCTCCGCCTAGGGATCCCCCACTTCCTTCTGCTACTTGACTGGAAGAGGAGAGGACGCGGGAGGATGGAGAAACACAACGGCAGCAGCCTGTTGCTGAATCCTGCAATGCTGTGCTGGAGGTCTGGTAATGTTACAGAACTTACAGGCAGTCATAGATTTGCCCATATGCACACATGTTCCCCTCCAGGGGCGGACTGACAACTCATGGGGCCCCCGGGCAATAGGGGATCATGGGGCCCCTGTGTCCTTGCCCACACTCAAAAAAAGCCTATAAAAAAGGTACCAGGGGCATTTCATGGGGCCCCCTACTGACCCCAGGCCCTCGGGCAGTGCCCGAGTTCTCGAATGGTCAGTCCGCCCCTGTTCCCCTCTTTTCCCACCATCATACCACCAACACTGCACTTTGCTATCACCACCCCTGCATCTAACACCATTTGATTCATCTAATTCACCCCATCTCCCAATCTCAATACCACACCTGCCTGCCTCCCATTTAACCACCACCTCTGCACCCCCCCCCCCCCCTCACCACTATGCCTGTGCCTGAACCTCCTTCTGACAACTGCACCTCTAGAAGCCTCTCACTGACCTTTTGCCATGCCTACTCAAGCCCCCCTTCCTTACTATTCTGCATCTGTAAACTCTTACCCATTCCTTCTCACTACTGTGCCTTTACCCATTCTCTCACCAATGTGCATTCATTACCTCCACCTTGCCTGTAGGCCCATCTCTCAACGTATGCCTTCAGCATGGACCTCACCCCACTACCACAGCTGCACACCACTTTTACCACTGCACCTATATCTTCTTCTCTCACAAAGCATGTGCACGCTTCCCCCACTTTCATTTCATACCCCCTGGAAGTCACCCAATTCCTGGCTGAAAGTATACCCCCTTTTATACCCAAGGTCCCAGAATCTAAACCTCTCACCATTGCATCTGTAAACCCTGCAAGCTCAAACCTTACATATGCTGGAACAGGCCCACATTTACGAATTCAAAAACAAAAAAAAAAAAAAAAAAAAAATCAGTGAGGGCACATTACTTTGTAGTAAAGCAGATAGAATGAATTGGAATTCTCTCTCATGGAACCCTGAGAAATGTGATAAGCAACTGTGTGATTCAATTTACTGGCAACCAGAAAAGACAAACTGGCAGCAGCTGACCATCAATTCCTAAAATGTTTTTTTCATTTCTGCATAGTGCTGCGTCACTTACAAGAAATAAAGTCAATGTCATGCCTATTATTTTTACATTTCTGCTACTACAATTATGTCAATAATTGTGCAATGAAAGTATTTCATCAATGTGGTGTTACTAAGATAATGTAACATCCACATAACCACATTTAGCGCTACTTAAAACTTGGTGAGCCTGTAATCTTCAAGAAACAATGGGATTGCTGCAAGCTGTTTTCGGACCTCTCATCATTCAAAACAAAAAATTATCCTAACTACAACCTTGAATATTTGTATGTACAATTTAGAATTCACTGCTCTTTAAAAAGGAACATACAAGACAAAGGAGTTCTAGCTGTTATTTCATGCTGCTTGCAAGTGACTCAGTACTGTCACGTTAAAAAAAAAAAAAAAAACCCAAAAAAACAAAAAATAGGATGAAAAAAAGCAAGTGTTTCTATTGCTAAGCAGTGCCTTGCGTTGTGTCACATTTGTAAATGGGTAGCCAAGAAATGTTTGATATATATATATATATATATATATATATATATATATATATATATATATATATATATATATGTATGAGCAGGATTCTGTTCCCAGCATGATAATACCACAGCTTAAGTTTGAAGATCAGGAAAAGACAGAAGCCTTCCTTTTCTATGCTGCATGAGCCAGAAAATACAGTGAAACACAATAGTGGAGATGGTGTAAGAATGGCATGGCCCCCATAGACTTTCAGTTATCTTAAGGTGGTAGTAAACCTCAGACATGTAATATGAACATAGCATATCCCTCTATAGTGTAGACTTGTCTCAATTAAATAACAATAAGGCAGGCCATAGATGATGCGATTTTCTTTCCTGTAACCATGGGTTGCAGGAAAGAAAATCACTTGATTCCCCCACCAACACAGTGAGTGTTGCTTGGGGAATCCCTCCAGATGAACTAGTGTGTTCTCCTGGCACGGAGGGGGAATTGTCCCTGTTGGGAGAACACAATGATTGGTGCCAACGGATACAGCCGCTGGCAAATAATTGCATGGAAAGATCCGACATGTTGGTTGTACCCAAGTAAATAAATGAATCGACTTCGGTACAATCAGCCTGCCCATTGATGGTTCGAATCTCGGCTGGTGTCTGATGAACTGACTGAGATTCGAACCATCGACGGTTGGCTTAAGTGTCATTTCTGTCTACTGCTTTGTTCCTCGACTACCAGCAAGCATCACTTCTGACTCCAAGAGAAAAATGGTGATGGGGGGGGGGGGGAGGGAACAGCTTGTGATTGACAGCCTAAGCTCTGTTCCTGTGTGTGTGTGTTCTGGTGTCTCTTCCCTCTAATCAGCTCTCAGAACTATGCAGTGTGTCATTTCAGCTCTCACACCTTTTTTTCTGACAGCTCAGAAGAGATATATAAATTCTGGACTTTGAAAGGATTTGGAAAAGTGAATGCTACAGATAAACAGGTACAACATACAGTGGATATAAAAAGTCTGCACACCCCTGTTAAAATGTCAGGTTTCTGTGATGTAAAAAAAAAAAGAGACAAAGATAAATAATTTCAGAGCTTTTTCTACCTTTAATGTAACCCATAAACTGTACGACTCAGTTGAACAACAAACGGATAATCTTTTAGCTGGAGGGAAGTAAAAATAAAAAAACTAAAATAATATGGTTGCATAAGTGTGCACACCATTAAATACTTTGTTGAAGCACCTTTTATTACAGCACTCAGTGTTTTTGGGTAGGAGTCTATCAGCATGGCACATCTTGATTTAGCAATATTTGCCCACTCTTCCTGGCAAGAACACTCCAAATCTGTCAGATTGTGAGGGCATCTCCTGTGCACAGCCCTCTTCAGATCAACCCAGATTTTCGATCGTACTCAGGTCTGAGCTCTGGCTGGGCCATTCCAAAACTTTAATCTTCTGGTGAAGCCATTCATTTGTTGATTTGGTTGTATGCTTTGGGTCGTTGTCATGTTGAAAGATGAAATTCCTCTTCATGTTCAGCTTTCTAGCAGAACCCTGAAGGGTTTGTGCCAATATTGACTGGAATTTGGAACTGTTCATAATTCCCTCTACCTTGACTAAGGCCCCAGTTCCAGCTCAAGAAAAACAGCCACAAAGCATTATGCTGCCACCACCATGCTTCACTGTGGGTATGGTGTTCTTCTGGTGATGTGCAGTGTTGTTTTTGTGCCAAAACATATCTCTTGGAATTATGGCCAAAAAGTTCAACCTTGGTTTCATCAGACCATACCATTTTCCCACATGCTTTTAGTCAACTTCAGATGTGTTTTTTGCAAAATTTAGCCGGGCTTGGATGTTTTTCTTTGTAAGAAAAAGCTTCCGTCTTGCCACTCTAAACAGACATATGAAGAATACGGGAGACTGTTGTCACATGGACCATGCAGCCAGTACTTTACGGATATTCCTGCAGCTCCTTTAATGTTGCTGTAGGCCTCTGGGCAGCCTCCCAGACCAGTTTTCTTCTCATCAATTTTCGAGGGACGTCCAGTTCTTGGTAATGTCACTGTTGCGCCATATTTTCTCCACTTGATGACGGTCTTCACTGTGTTCCATGGCATATCTAATGCCTTGGAAATTCTTTTGTACCCTTCTCCTGACTGACACCTTTTAATGATGAGATCCCTCTGATGCTTTGGAAGCTCTCTGCAGGCCATGGCTTTTGCTGTGGGATGCAACTAAGAAAATGTCAGGGTAGGCCTAATAGAACAGCTGAACTTTATTTGGGGTTAGTCAGAGGCACTTTAAATGATGGCAGGTGTGTGCTTAATTCTGAACACAGCTACATCCCCAGTTATAATAGGATGTGCAGACTTATGCAACCACATTACTTTAGTTTTTTATGTTTACTCCCCCCCCCCCCCCCCCCCAAAAGTTTGTTTTTCAATGGAGTTGTACAGTTTATAGGTCACATTAAAAGGTGGAAAAAGTTCTGAAATGATTCATCTTTGTCTCATTTTTTGCATCGCAGAGACATGACAACAGGGGTGTGTAGACTTTTTATATCCACCGTATGTGGGAGGAGTTGTTTAATCTCTGTGAAATGACTAGCCTCAGGTGATGCACAGAGTATATGTAAGGGTTTACAACCACTTTAACCACCTTCCGCCCGCCCTATAGTACAATGGCGGGCGCAAGGTGGTTCTCTCATTCTGATAGGACGTCATATGTCATCCTACCATTCTCACTGCGCATGCGCGGCTCAGGGAGCGTGCAGTATGGCGATCGCCGGTGCGCTGTCCCTCGGACACAGCGGATCACGGAAAGAGCCGAAGATGTTGGCTCGGTCATGTGACCAGCTGTGTCCAATCACAGCTGATCACATGTAAACAGGGAAATGCCAGTTATTGGCATTTCTCTCCTCTGGAGCTGTCATGCTGACAGCTCGAGAGGAGAGGACAGCCGGTAATCGGCTTTCCGCGGAGGGGACATGTACACGGATCATCAGGGCACTGATGATCAGTGTGCCCTGATGATCAGTGTGGCCCCAGAAGTGCCACCTGTCAGTGCCGCATCAATGCCACATATCAGTGCATACCAGTGCACATCATTGCCACATATCAGTGCATACCAGTGCACATCAATGCCACATATCAGTGCCCATCTGAGCTGCCTTTCAATGTCACCCATCAATGCCAATCAGTGCCACCTATAAGTGCTGCCAATCAGTGCCACCTATTAGTGCCAGTCAGTGTCACCTATCAGTGCATATCAGTGTCGCCTATCAGTGCGTATCAGTGCCGCCTATCAGTGTGTATCAGTGCCGCCTAACAGTGCCAGTCAGTGCCGCCTAACAGTGCCAGTCAGTGCCGCTAACAGTGCCATATATCAGTGTCATGTATCGGTGCTGCCTTTCAGTGTCCATCAGTGATGCCTGTCAATGCCCATCAGTGCAACCTACTAGTGCCTTCTCATCAGTGCCCATCAGTGCCACCTATCAGTGTCCATCAGTGCCGCCTATCAGTGCCCATCACTGCAGCCTCATTAGCGCACATCAGTGAAGGAGAAAAAATCACTTATTTACAAAATTGTATAACAAACACTAAGAAAAAACGTTTTTTTTTCAAACTTTTCAGTGGTTTTTGGTTTAAGAAAAAATAAAAATCCCAGAGGTGATTAAATACCACCAAAAGAAAGCTCTATCTGTCTCAAAAAAATGATAAAAATTTCATATGGGTACAGTGTTGCATGACCGCACAATTGTCACTCAAAGTGTGACAGCGCTGAAAGCTGGAAATTGGCCTGGGCAGGAAGGGGGTATAAGTGCCCTGTAGGCCAGTGGTTAAAGTAGAACAAGTGCAGACAGACAATCACTTATTTTGTGTGATTGGTTTAGAAGTTCGGCTAATTTGCATATTAGTAGCCCTGTAAATAGTTTTTTCCTAGCTAAAAGCAAACCTTTGCGCTCTCAATCAACATTGACTATTTGTAATCCTTATGCTGCTAGCATTAGTAAATATATAGAAACATATCAGATTTACTTGTTTTAAACTTTTTTTTTTACATTTCTTCAGTTACTTCCTGGTTTCCATGCCTAGGCACATATACATCCCAGCAGTCTTCAGGAAGGGAGAGAGGGATCTCAGCTCAGCCAATGCCTGAGCTAAGGGCAGACAGATTCCAGGAAGTAAAAGATACACAAATCATCTGCCCTTACTCAAGATGGCCACTACCAGAAATGCCAGGGGGTCTTTTTCAAAATGATTTCTCAGCAAAATAAAGCATGGAGACATGGATGGACGGATGGGGGAGTTTGCTTTGAATATTAAAAATGAATTAAATAGCATTTTTGGTTTGTAGTGCTCTGATGCAGTGCAGTTCCACTTTAAGAATGAGAACCTCTGTTAGGTTCTTATTGTTGTCTATGTCACGCTCGCTGCAGAGGTTTCCCTTTATTTTCTGTCCTAAAAATGTAGCTGAAAATAAGAGGAAATCTCGAAGTGAAGGAAAATTCTACTTTTGTCCATTGTCACCAGAACATGTACCTCAGTTTGGAAATTCTCCATCTCCTCTGATGACACCAAAAAAAAAAAAAATGTAGATTTCCTTCTGCTGTCAGCCCAGGTTGCAGTGGTTTATGCGGACATTCAAACAGCTCTACCTCTAGTCCAGGGGTGGGCAAACTTTTTGACTTGAGGGCCGCAATGGGTTCATATATTGGACCCGGGGGCCGGACCAAGAGTAGATGAATGATGTGTATGTATCATCCATAGTAAGTATAGTAATATTCCCCCATAGTAAGCAAAGTAATTAATCCCCCATATAGTAATTCATCCCCCATAGTAATTCATCCCCCATATAGTAATTCATCCCCCATAGTAATTCACCCCCCATAGTAATTCATCCCCCCTATAGTAATTCATCCCCCCTATAGTAATTCATCCCCCATAGTAATTCATCCCCCATATAGTAATTCATCCCCCATATAGTAATTCATCCCCCATATAGTAATTCATCCCCCATATAGTAATTCATCCCCCATATAGTAATTCATCCCCTATAGTAATTCATCCACCATATAGTAATTCATCCCCCATATAGTAATTCATCCCCCATAGTAATTCATCCCCCATATAGTAATTCATCCCCTATAGTAATTAATCCCCCATATAGTAATTCATCCCCCATAGTAATTCATCCCCCATATAGTAATTCATCCCCTATAGTAATTCATCCACCATATAGTAATTCATCCCCCATATAGTAATTCATCCCCCATAGTAATTCATCCCCCATATAGTAATTCATCCCCCATAGTAATTAATCCCCCATATAGTAATTCATCCCCCATAGTAATTCATCCCCCATAGTAATTCACCCCCCATAGTAATTCACCCCCCATAGTAATTCATCCCCCCTATAGTAATTCATCCCCCCTATAGTAATTCATCCCCCATAGTAATTCATCCCCCATATAGTAATTCATCCCCCATATAGTAATTCATCCCCCATATAGTAATTCATCCCCCATATAGTAATTCATCCCCCATATAGTAATTCATCCCCTATAGTAATTCATCCACCATATAGTAATTCATCCCCCATATAGTAATTCATCCCCCATAGTAATTCATCCCCCATATAGTAATTCATCCCCTATAGTAATTCATCCCCCCTATAGTAATTCATTCCCCATAGTACTATTCCCCCCCAAGTAGTGAGCCAAGTCCCCCCTGTGTCAATTTACTTACCTTTGCTCCGCGCGTTCCTCTCGCCGTGTTCCCGCGCCGTTCCGGTCTTCAGGGCGGACTGTGAGAGGAGCCTAGCTCCCCTCACGTTCGTCACGCTGCCCCGCCTACAGACATCCTGACAGCCATCCTGACAGTATCACGCTCCGCGGGCCGGATTAAAAGGTCCGTCGGGCCGTAGTTTGCCCATTGCTGCTCTAGAACCTACCAGGGGTCTGCAACCTTTAAGACATAAAGAGCCACTTGGACCCGTTTCTGAGAGGGAAAAAAAGACTGGGAGCCGCAAAACCATTGCAACATTTAAAACAAATCCGACACTGCATATATTGCGAAAAGCGCTCTGGTCATGAAGGGGGTTTAAGGGCCCAGTAAGCAAAGGGTTAACCAGGGCCACAGTGTATCGTCATAATCACAATCATAGCCTTAGGTCAGTGGTGGGCAACCTTTTTTTTCAACTGAGCCAAATCTCGCCAAAACTACGATTGAAATTTATTTTGAGAGAAACATTTTTAAAACTGAAAATTCATCCCCCATAGTAATTCATCCCCCATATAGTAATTCATCCCCCCATAGTAATTCATCCCCCATATAGCAATTCATCCCCCCTATAGTAATTCATCCCCCATATAGTAATTCATCCACCATATAGTAATTCATCCCCCATAGTAATTCATCCCCCATATAGTAATACATCCCCCATATAGTAATACATCCCCCATATAGTAATACATCCCCCATATAGTAATTCATCCCCCATATAGTAATTCATCCCCCATATAGTAATTCATCCCCCCTATAGTATTTCATCCCCCCTATAGTAATTCATCCCCCCTATAGTAATTCATCCCCCCTATAGTAATTCATCCCCCATAGTAATTCATCCCCCATATAGTAATTCATCCCCCATATAGTAATTCATCCCCCATAGTAATTCATCCCCCATATAGTAATTCATCCCCCATAGTAATTCATCCCCCATATAGTAATTCATCCCCCATAGTAATTCATCCCCCATAGTAATTCATCCCCCCTATAGTAATTCATCCCCCCTGTGTCAATTCACTTACCTTTGCTCCGCGCGTTCCTCTAGCTGTGTTCCCGCGCCGTTCTGGTCTTCAGGGCGGACTGTGAGAGGAGAGGAGTTCGTCACGCTGCCCCGCCTACATCCTGACAGCCAATGTTTGGAGGAGGGAGGGGAGCGGGCGCCCGGCACATAGAAGAGCTGCATTAAAAGAGCCGCGGCTTGCCGACCCTATTGCCTGTCACCTGGTGGGCAGTGTGCTCCGGAGCCGCAGGAAAGGTGAAAAAGAGCTGCATGCAGCTCCGGAGCCGCGGGTTGCCGACACCCGACCTACACCATGTTTAGACAAGACCTCATCTTTACGCTCCGCTTTGACCTGGTGTAATTAATCTTTCATAAACAGACTCAATTTTGCAGTCTGTGAAAGTTTCCATTTATTCAACAATAATGTGTAACCATTAGCCAAAACATGTTTTTAAATAAAAGACTTCATTCAGTGGGCTTGCTGGAATAAATATCATGCAAATATTAATAAAGGAAAAGTGGAAAAAAAAAAAAAAAAAAAATAATACATTGTCTGAAAATATGTCATAAACACAATCTATTTTAAAATCTTTTCACTCGAAGCCGTATTAAACCCAAAACCAAACGTAATACATTTCAGCTAACCAGTCATTAGATGTGGTGACTGCATTGGTTTTCTTTTTTAGGCTTTTCCCCCTTGTGTCTTCATCTGGTGGGAGGGAAGTGTTGGATGGACTAGCAGATATGGATACAGTTACATCAACAGATTTTTTTTCGCTTTCGGGATAAAGGTTTTAAATGAATAAATAAAAGCTGATCATTGTACGCATACCTGTCAGAGGTAAATGGTTTGTTTGTCTGAACATTTTAAATTGATACATTTGCAGGACAGCTTGTTCTGTTGAAATACAACAGACTTACTGGCCAGATCACAGATGAAAATAAAGGAAAAAAACAGCCTAAAAAAGAAAACTAATGCAGTCATCACATCTGACAACTGGAAAGATGCACTATAATAAAGGTTTGCTTTTGGGTTTAATCCCACTTTAAATATTACCTAGTCTGATTACAGAGAAGTCAGGTAACTAGTATGTAGGTTTTGGCACATAAACCACTGGCATATGGTGATTTTTTTTTTTTTTTTACAAATGTTATTAGAAAACACAATACAAATGAATAAACTGTCAGAAAGACCAGCGGAGCCCACTATTAAGGAAAAGCACTATTGTAATAATTTATCTGACCAAGCAAAGAGTGAATGGTACCCAAGCTGGATTTCACTTTTTCTTTTTCCCATTGTTCACGTTTTGCGTATTACCATGTTGGCTTTTCTTAAGCCCAGCAATGCCAAACACATCAAAAAAGTCACAACTGAGAAACATAGATACCTTATGAAGCCCAGAAATGGAATTATTGTATAAAGGTCACTTGTCTTTTTCTTCTCTCCTCATGTTTTAAAAGACAAAAAAAAATTACATTGTTTCACTAAAGTACCATTACCTGCTCTATAAACGTCTTACTGCATACATTTTTTGCAAACGTCTAGAAAATCTGTGCATGTAAAATGGTAACATGTCCTTCCTTTTGTATTGAACAGGGAGACTTCCATCATTTTGTGTGCACCACTAACACGTCTGCCAAGTAAGGAACTCCACACAGTCCTGCTGCCTGCCAAACCACATTGCTGAAAAGATGCTTCAGCTCAGTATTACATTTATATTGGCCTGAATGTTGTCCTCAATGTCTGACCTGCCCCAGAATCTCCCTAGAGGTCTTCTTACTCATCTGGAAGTAATTTGAAA